TTTTTTTCCTCTTCACGACGCATTTATTGGCTGATGCGACTTATACTCAGGAGCGACTTATAGTCCGGAAAATACGGTAATTACAGCCTATCTACCGAATTGGATCAAATATAAAAGTCAGCCGAATTAGTGTTGATACTGCGAGGAGACGCATTGTGTGAAAAAAAATGGAGATGTTGTTTAATTGCTGATATATTTATGATCCACGTCACGTATTCAGTTTTGGCGGCATTTCTTACAGTTTGTCAAAAGGTCTTCTGATCAGGGCTCTATAAATAAATATCTACGGCAGATATGTAATATTTAATGCAGCCGAACCGTGTATTACAGTACAATGCCGTTATGTGATGACTTCCAAAGAGAAAAGCAAGAACACTCGGAATAAAGTATTATTTTATTTAAAAAAAATGTTTTTCCGATTTCATATCGGATAAACACCATATCCCGACATGCATTGCGGCTAAAACAATCGATGTTTTAGCCTATCAAAACCTCTGAAAAAAGAAAGGTGTCTCTCAGAATCGAAAGAGAAAAACCTATGGGAAAAACGCAAAAGCATTGTACACAATTTAAACCAATAAATGTTGTATAATTAACAAGGATAAACTGATGTTTTTTAGTTGATGAGTACTGCAGATATCACTGTTAAATCATTTGATCATTGGTTTTATTATGAAAACGTAGAGACCGGAAATACTGTTTTCAACCCGTAACTTTACATGGAGGCTGCCGCATACCTCAAATCATCTTCGTAATATCTATCAAACTATAGATCCTACATATCGANACCCCACCCCCCCCACCCCACACACACACACACACACACACACACACTTCTCCGCCTCATTCTGTTTTCATTTACTCGTTCGTTATCTGACCAGCTTCAATCTTGTAGGCTACTCACTTCGTTTCTTGTAGCCCTCGAAAGGGTTTTGGAGGTTGATGCCTCGCTGAACGGGAGTTGAATGGCTTTCTTGTCCGCAGCAGCAGAAAGCATTTTCGAATGTTTGAATGAATCAAAGTGGGTCGCCACCGTCGATTTTCTCTTATGCTGCAACACACAGTTGCACGGGGTGCAGAATAGTTTCCCCCCACTTTTTGCCCGGTCTTTAGTAGAAATGTTCGTTGGTAAATGAGCTCTATACAGTGTTGTTTACATTCTGTGATGCGCGAGCTGATGACGTCACGTCAAGACGAGTTAATTTTTTTTCTTCTCAACTTTGTGTGGAAAAATGCGGGGATGCGGCTTTTTTAAAATCTGCGCCATTTGGCTGATTATGCGGTAAATTCTGCGATCGCAGCATCGCGTTTTTCTGGAGGGTCTAATATATAACATTCACGAAAAAGTGGATTTTGCATAATAGGTGACCTTTAATATATTTGCCCCAAAACACCAAAATCAAAACAAAGTAGAAAACTGTATCATTTCCCAAATGACATGTCCTTTACAGACGTTAGCAAGAGATGCCCTGAATTGCAGTTATACTATTTTGAGGAGGTAAACATATGCTTTGCCATTGCCTCAAAGCCCCTGCACCAACAAGTCCTCCAACTCATAGGACCAAATAGGCCGATTGTTCAGGTCCTTATTACGACCGAATATTTTGTTTGTTCCAGCGCTTAATACGTCCTATAATTACGTTTTAAAGTTTTCGCCCTGTAATGCTCCCGTTGAATGCAAACGTTACAGATGGTCGTTTATTCACAAATAACCCTCTCTGTAAAATCCTAAATTGTTGGATAGTTTGGCCATTAAAACGCTTTTTGATTAAATTTCAAGCGAGAAGTGTATTGTACTTTTAGAATCCACGTCCATTAGATATGTAGGATCTATAGTTTGATAGATATTACGAAGATGATTTGAGGTATGCGGCAGCCTCCATGTAAAGTTACGGGTTNTATCTTTACACAGAGGGGACACATGTTTATATATAACATTCACGAAAAAGTGGATTTTGCATAATAGGTGACCTCTAATATATTTGCCCCAAAACACCATTGGTGTTTTGGGGCAAATATATTAGAGGTCACCTATTATGCAAAATCCACTTTTTCGTGAATGTTATATATAAACATGTGTCCCCTCTGTGTAAAGATATTCTGAAGGTTTCAGGAAAAAAGATTCGCCCACTTTTTGTCCTGATCCATTTATATAAAAACCTGTCTGAAAATGAGCTGATCAGATTTTGGCCACTTTATGATGTCATAACGATTTTTTTGCTTTTGTAACCATTAGCCAATCACCAACCAAGGTAACCCCCCACCTTATCACCTGAATCTCCTCCTAGAGCACCATTGAGTTCTTTTTAACCAAATATCTCTCAGAGGGGCGTCTGGAGTGGCTCCTTATTTTCATCTAAAGTAACAGACAGAGAATCAGCACTTTTGAAACAGGGCTGAAACAGAGGGGTTTATGGGATGCTACAATGCATGATCTGTTCGGTATTTCGAGCCAAACACTTCAGAGACATGTTTTGTATATATCTGACACCAATAATATATTGATGAAAAGCAGTATAATAGGGGACCTTTAAAATGTGTTTTTGATGTATCCATGAATCCATCCAATGCTACAGCTATGTTAATAGTCAAAATCTAAAACAAAACAACAACATTTCTGAGGGATTCATTCTGTACTGTTTGTCCTTCCCCATCAAGTTGAACATGGCCAATGACTATAAAAGTAGGAAGTCTTACCTTTGATGCCAAACTTGGAATTCCCTCCAAACTTGAGAAGGACCAACATTAAAAGGAAACCGGTAAAGGCCACAGCAGCAATGCCCACCACCACGTACACCTGCACATTGAGGAAACAGAGTTATACTTCATATAGAAAAATATAATGACACCAGAAGTTATAGACTTTAGGCATATTTTCTAAATCCCTGCTGTGTCTTTGTATCGTGGTGTGTCCGTGCAGTTCCGTTTAACATGATCAAAATAGATCCAGCTCAGGTATCAATGAAATCAGCAAAGAGGACAACAGTAAAATTTAACTTACAGCGACTCCGTCTTCAGGAGGGTCTGGAGTGGGGGCGTCTGTTGAAGGAGAGATGGTTTTAAAAAGAGAAGAGTCATTAGAGAAGTGAAGAATAGTCTTGTTTGTTATAGTAACATAAACATCCTTGAGTAAATATAATTTTGAAGTTATATGCTTCTGCATAACATTGTGTGCATCTGCTCCAAATAAAATATAAATACTACTATACATACTTAAAGAAACTCGGTTTTATATTTTTCCACAGCTAAACAGGGTCTTTCTTATTATACTTATTAGGACTAACTAGCTCTACACTGAAATATGAAGAATAGTGTTTTTTTATTTCCATGTTTTCTTCATCATCTTATGATGAGGATGCTGACTTTTGCCGGGAAAAATACAATCTGGGCCTCAGTGTTTATGCTATGAACTTGGCCCTTGAGTTCATATTTTGGAGTTTCTTATTGGCTTTTTATTTGAAAAGGGTCACCTGGAAACATAAGTAGCTGGATAACGTTTTTTAAAAGAGCTATGAGAGCACAAATATTCACATTGATGTCATTTGAGAAGGCAACATTGATGAAATGGCTTTTGCCGGCCTGAAATCAAAGATAACACTTTATACCAAATGAAATATTCCATATTTAATATATCAATTTAAACTGCATATGTGTTATAAGAAAACGTAAAGCTTGACAGGCATAGCAACTGTAACTACGGGGGCTAAGCAATGTTTGTGATTGGGAGTGTTCGAAGGTGTAGCGGTACCTGTGAATGGATCTGAAGCGGGGACAAGGTGTGTGAGAAACAGCAAAAGAGAAAAGAGAGAAATTAGCTCCTAAACATATCAACACACTTCACTTGTAAATTATTTGACACGCACTTCACATCTAATGCTGTCAGTCATGAGCTTGTTCTCTAAGCTTGTTTCAAAAATATTACACAAACACAATACACAAACCAACAGACAACACATATTTAGCATGCACAACATCAGAAATAATAAGAACGAGATCAGGGCCAGAATGTGGAAAAAGGAGAACCATCCCTAATGCCTAGCTGCAAGGACCCTGACCAACTTGAGAGAAAAAAGAGAAAGACAAAAATGTCTCAAATCTAATTTGTGTTAATTGATAGGGATGAAAATGATAGGATGTTAAACAGAAAAAAAATCTGCAAACATTGATAATACACCATCGATCTGGACTGGATGTTTTAGATTTATCACTTTTACATTAGATACAAAATGTGTAATCATGAAAAATGATTTCACTCACCATAATAGTTGTCCTTATCCGTATCTGCACATGAAATATGAAAACAAAAGATAACTTTTAATAAATATTCTCTAACCCTAACCCTAATATTAACATACCATATACATATTGTATACAATACATACAATATAAGATGTTGGCCTGTTTAACCAAGGTGGTGAGATATGTTGCTTTTTTGTGACGCCAATACAGTTTTTTCAGATTTATTTTTATGTGCAGATACTTAATTTTTTACTTTTTTAAAGATACTGTTTACCTGCACACAATCACCCCTCTGATCCCCTTAGAAAATCAGTTCCATGTCTATCTCACATGTCATTTGTATATTCTCTATAATTTAATATTAATTATAATAACAGCTCCTCCTTCAAATCTTGTTACTACCAAAAACCGCTGATGCAAAACCGCCTGTATAGCATTGCTTTTGTAAAAGGAAAAAAATAAGCTGTCATATTCTAGCTGGTGCTTTAAAACCCAGAGGGGAAATGTTCTTGACCACAAAGGTCAAAAGCATTTACCTGAACATTTACTAAACAGAAATCTCTAACAATATCTTTTATAATTTTTGTATTATAGTTTCTTATAATAATATATTTCTTATAATAATTATAAGTTCTGCAAAGAAAGAAAATACTAATACAGATTGCAAGTCACATTAACATACAAGCTAAATTCTGTAGTTCATTGCTCAGTGTTAACAAATCACCACATTTGAGAAGCTGCAACATGGGAATATTGCTTGAAAAGTTAGATACATTATTTATTATAGTTATATAGATTATATTTTGTATACAATTTTATATATACATTCATTTAATATTATAATAATTATTAACTGATGATAAAAACAGTTGATGAGAAATGTGTTGTCGTTTGTCTTATCAATTCATTGAGCAACTGTTTCAGCTCTGTACTTAATGAAAGTAAAAGCTTGATTTTGCTTGGTGCTGCTCCTCACCCTCCCAGGGCTTGGTCATGAAGTGCGCGTCCACCTCCTTCATGTCTGTGCCGTATTTGTTTGTAGCCACCAGCTTGTAGCGGCCGTTGTTGAGGTGTGTGGGGCTGTCGAGCTGCAGGCAGCCGTGGAACTCTCTCTCTGTGACGTCATGGATCATCGTCACGATGAACTTGCCCTCCATCACAAGTTTATCATCCTGATACCACAGCAGCTCTGGCATTGGGTTTCCTGGGAACAACATGAAGACAATACTTGACACGGTGATTTTCAGTGCTTTCAGATATTTGAATCAGAAGTCTATCTTTGCTCATGTAGTCATTGCTCTGATACATTTAACGGGAACATACAAAATTAAGGCTAAGTATTTTAGGCCTAAAGACAGAAAATAAACAGCTAAGTCCCACTAATGCTGTGTTTCCAGTGCATAGTACTCTACTCTAATTGCATTTCCATTGAATAGCACTGCCTTACAGTAGCCTAGGCGGGGTGAACAGCTGTTCCCCGTAGCAACACCAATTTAAATTGGCGTGTAAATGGAAGACTTGCTGAATTATTTCATTTGCAACCAAGCAGAGTTACGTCTGCCATCTCAGTTTTAGGGTAAGGTGTACATTGTGCTTTGCCAGGTGACTGCAAAACATTATATTGACAGCTATTTGCTTTTTTCAAAAAGTACCAGGTGCTATACCTAGTGGAAAACCAAAGAAAGTCAAGTGGAGCCCTACCATGCAGTGGAAACTCTGCACATACACAATTTGTGTATGTGTTTACCTGACATGCTGAAGGGGATGCACCAGTGATGGTCGGGGATTGCATCAGTCAGCTTCGTGATTTTGGGAGGAACTGAGTGTAGGAGAGAGAAGAGAGAGCAAGTGTGAGATTCAGACAATAAAGAAAGGAAGATAAGAGCGTACAGTAGCTCATAGACAAAGCTACAGCATGCAGAAACACAGTTGTCTTCTCCAGCTTTTAATTCTCTGCTTTAAAGAGTGGGCTGACACATACAGTACTTTGACACAATAATCTAAATTAAATCAGGGCTGTTTGCCAGAGGGAAAACGTACAAAGTATATCCAACATCAGCGCGGACTCTTTCTCTCCAACGATGTTCTCAGCCGTGCAGCTGATCTTGCTGTTGTGATCCAGTGACGACAGGTTGGAAAGTCGCAGCACTGAAATCTGTCCCGATGTCTCGATCTGAGGGAGTAAAAACATCCATATATCAGCACGATGAGTCAGCTTTTTTTTATGTACATAGTGAAAAATGTTTAGGATTTGTGGCTAAGAGTTGAAAGCATTAGATTCAGGTGATCATACCCATCCATGGTGTTTTTAATCAAATCAAAAAGTAACAGGTGAAAGCACCCCTCACAATATCATATAAATAACTCAGTTTTCAGTTTTCGGTGATCAACGATTAGTTAAAACATTCTGGACTGCAAATTCAGTTTATTTTCTTCGATTTTCTCCTGTCAACACTCTAGAAAAGGCTAAAGATGTTGGCATATGACAAAGAAAAAAGCCCTAAATCCTCACTTTTGAGAAACTGAAACTACAAAATATCTTAAATGAGCACTTGAAAATTGAAAGCTACAATTAATAAATCAAAATATATTTGTTTCTGTCAATCAATGAATCAATTAACTGTTGTATCTGTAAAAGAAATAAACATAGGGCATACCATGTCATATGAAACATGTCTGTCAAGTAAAGTAAATCTGCTCGTGTGTATTTCTGTGTATTTCCGTGTGTGACCTGACCTCATAGTTGGAGACCAACGCCATGTTCCATATGAGCTCGGGCGAGGGCACCCCCGAGGTCGTGCAGGACAGGTCCACATGCTTCCCCTCCATTAGTGTCACCTTGGATGGGTTTAACGTTGCCATGGGAACCTCTACATACAACCAGGGGGGGGGGAGGCGACGAAAAGAGGAAGGAAGCAAACTTAGGATTCATGGCCAACTCTTGTCTTTTCATTTGAAACACAAGGCACGTAACAACCTCGACAATATGAGTGGAAGAGCAGGCAAACACACAACCACTACCACAGAGTGAAAAGAAGGACACACAAAGAAAAGACCTCAAATTCTCTCTCTCTCTCTCTCTCTCTCTCTCTCTCTCTCTCTCGCTTTCATTTAAGCACACTCCCCCCAATCAAACAGTCAGACAAAGACACAGAGTTCAAACATGGTGATGGTTACACTGATTACTACTGCATGTCTTCAGCAGCCCAAGAACTGAATTGATTGGACACAGTCTGAAGCCTCAGTCAAAGCTAAGACACTGGTGACTGTGTGTGTGTGCCTGTGTGTTTGTGTGTGTGTGCGCATGTGTGTTCTGACCAGAAGGTGACCTGAGTGTGACCAATCAGACTCAATCAGAGTTTTGCCACCCTCATCTCCTGTCCAGTAACATCTCTGATGAAAGGAAAAGATTACAAAGAGAAGAGAGGGAGAGAAGATGAGGAGACAAGGCATGAACCTAAGGAAGGTAAGAGAAGAAGATCAGATCAAACCAAAGAGAAGAGAAAGAAGATGAAGAGAGCAAATCGAAAAGACAAGAATGAGAACAAAGACAGGGTGAAGAGAGGATAACAGGAGGACAAAAATAATAGGAAAGGAGAAAAGAGAAGAGAAAGAAGATGAGAAGAGAGGAAAGAGACAAAGAAAGGACAAGATGAGAACCAAATGGAGGCAAGAAAAAGAAAAGAGTGGATGCCAGTCGAGAACCAAGAGAACTGGAAGACAGATGAAAAACAAGCAAAGGGAAGAAGAAGAGGAGGCTAGACCAGAAGAAAAAAGAAAACAGTAGAAAATAAGAGTAGCTTAGAGAGGAAGAAAGAGCAGAACAAAAAGAAGAGAGGAAAAGAGATGGGTGTCGACAGCTACTGCAGATAACACTGGACAGATTCCTTATCGAACCCCCCCTCGTCCACCTCGTCTGTCCGTCGGCAGAATGCTTATCACCAGTGCAACCCACTTATCACTAAGGCAACCTACTCAGTCACCATGAGACGCACAAAAAAACAGTCATTTCAGCCATATCACAACCACATATCTTAACAGGCTCTCCGTAAATCAGCTTTCTACTCACACTATACACCCTCTGCAGTGTCTCTCACACACACACACACACACACACACACACACACACACACACACACACACACACACACACACACACACACACACACACACACACACACACACACACACACACACACACACACACAGCTGGATTTCAGAATGAAACTTCCGGAAACAGACTCTATTGTGAGTGCAGTTGTCATGACCTGTCAGTACATAGAAAATTATTCCATTTACTATTATGTACGAGCGCAGCTTTGGTAGTCAAACCACCCATGACATCCGGAGTGATTGTAATCCTTTAGCGGCTCAGATGTGTGCAGAATCAACAAGTAGGATTGAGGAGGAATTTACTGTGATTAGTATGGTAGACCAGCCTGTGTCAGTGACAACACGTGAATCATTACGAGGAAAGATTGAACTATTGTTTGGACCGTGTTGAGGTTCATCTGCAGCTGGTTGTAAACATATGGGAAACACGGGGAGTCAAGTGTTTGCAGAGGGGGAGCCAACTTAATGTACAACATCCAGGACACTGGCTAACTGTAAAAAAAATAAATAATAATAATTACAAACTTAAGGCCCGCTTATCGCCACCAAATGGAATAGCTCTGTTGTCATTGAGGTAGATTTTTGACATTTAAGCTCAGTAGTTGGTTTGATTTCAAAGCACTTAATAAACAATATATGAATATTATATTGATATTTTGAAATTAGATTTTGTCTTACATTTTTTCTATGTGAAGTGGGATCTTTTTGTGGTTTCAAAATATGCATCAGAGTAAAGCAATCTCATTTTTGGAAATAACCAGACGGTTCCAGCTTTTCTATTATTTGCTTATACCCTCTTAGTCATTAGATCCACATTACTGATAATTATTTATAAGAAATCTAATTTTGTGAAAACACAAAAATCCAGGCTGTAAAATATCGTCACAATATCAATATTGAGCTATTTGGTCAAAAATATTGTTATAGATGATTTTTCTTCATATTGCCCGGCTCAACGCCAGACTACTATTTCCAGAATAAACTTTTATGTTTAGCAAAATAATAACTGATCATCAGTGTTGGGGGTAACGCACAACAAAGTAACGTTTCACTGTAATCAGATTACATTTGTCTGTAACGCGTTAATGTTGATAATAACAGTACTTACATTACTTCGCACAAAATTATCTCGTTACTTGCGTTACTTTAGAAGTGGGGTATGTAATTTTGGAGAAACCTGCCCGAGTGCGCTAGAATTTGAAAATACAAATCTGCTACTTCCTTACAGAGCCCCTCCTCCAACACACATGACCAATGAGGGCACAAGATAAGTTTGTGCACAGATGAGGCTGACAGGCAGGTAGGCCATCCAGTTATTTTAGCCGGCCCGGCTTAGATGATTGGTCGTGCTTTTTACAGCGCTGCGGCTTCCACAGATTACATTTTATTTATTTATTGTCAAAGCATTTAATGTATTCATTGCTATCGGGATGTTAAGAGCATTCTGTGGAATATAACAAAAAGTGTTTCTGAAATAAATTACACACCCTACCTTTAAGGTCTTCAACTATCTGCATAACGGGAGGACAGAAAAATTAATCAAACGTCAAAGAAAGAATATCCTATAAATTGTACCTTTGGGTAATTGTTTCACTATTATAACCTTGTGGGACTTTGGTGCACAAGCAGCTAACTTGCACTTTCCTTCAAATTGTATTTCTTTGTATTACCAGATGTCATTTCAAGGACCTTCTTTTTCTATAAACAATGATATTCAAAGGCAGATAATTGTGCAAGATTGTAACAAAGAAACCTCATTGCTAACACCCCAGTCCTTGACACTCCTTGACTCCTTGAATTCAGATTACCTTTATTCAGGGAGCATGTGCTATGAAAGGGCAGTGAATTACAGGCCCAGCATTGGAGATATGCCCCGGTGATGTGGAGCTGAATAGTTGCTCACAGCTCATATTTAAAAGCAAAACATCCGATCCGGATTGAAACCTCTGCACAATACGCCCAGGCATACTTCAGCGTCATTGTTAGAGGTGTCATTGTTGTCAGCTCTTGTTATGGGCCGCAATGGGCACATCCACATCTGTGTTTAGAGAAGTGTTCATATTTATTATGTAAGGCTCCAGGCCTCCACACCACAGAGATGTGGTGATTTCGGATGAAAGGCAGCAGCAGAAGAGAGACATTTTTCGCAAAATTAACATCAGGGAGGGAAGAAAATGTGCCAAAAAGTGACACAACACAAAACGCGTCCCTGAGTTTGTCTCTGTATATTTCTGTTGTTCCAGCACAGTGAACTGTCGATGCATTATGAGAGGGTTTCAGTGAGAAAGAGGGAGGAGAACGGATGACAATACTAGCTGAGCAGCTTTTAAACCCAAAATCTGTCGTAGATTATTCACTTTCTCTTGTCAGTCAAATTGACTGTCTGACATCATTTTGGGGTTTTAATTTTCCTGAATCTGCCATCCATTCTGTTAAGTTAAGGCTAAAACTATGGTTAAAGTAGTGAAAACATCATCAATGTATAATAGGAAGGTGAAACGTTGGTCTCCTGCATAAGGAGCAGACGCACCCATTCATCACCTCGGCCTCCACACCCCTACTCTCCACTTCTCTGCACGAAGGACACTTCCTGCATTTGCATTGGATGTAGTCAATCTTGAGGTGCATAACCATCTAACCTGGACAGAACACGCCATGATATTGATGGAGTTCAGCTATGATTCATTCTTGTCGTATGAAGGACTACTTATAAATTCAAAAATGAAAACTGCACACCATCAACGCAACACATTTTTCCTCCCCATTTCAAATTATTAGCAATTACCTTGTTTTCATTCCCATAAAGATGATTTACTGAATTTTTTTTTGCCCAGCTGTGCTCTTCTGTTTTTAAAGCTATTTTCCATGTTCAACCCTCTTGAATCCTTACAGTATGTTGACAAAACCTCTCTGCTTAATGATGTCAGCGTATGCTAAAAATGGCTGCAGGGAGGCTTACTATACGTCAAGTCCATCACCTTTTGAAATACCTCTTTAAACATCATGAATACCATCTTAACTTTCTGTCAATCTGCATGTGCTGATTTTATTTGTGCTTTCTCAGATCTGTGTGGATTTTAAATGTAGTTTTTCAACTTTTGTGCCTTGTTTAGTTCAAGTGAGTATTCTCCCTATAGAAAATTCACACATGTCAATAGCATCTAGTGCTCACAGACACAGAAGCCATCTGGCCTTTTTACTTATTATGTACCGCTCCAGTGCCTACGTGTGCTTGTGTTAGAGAAGGAGATATAGATATTAGATGACAGGAAATAAGACTTGAACAATAATTTTAAAAATGACAAACAAATGAGAAAGGGAAATGAAACCTGAGAGCCAGTCATTCCAGACAGACAAATGGACAGACGGAGAGATAGAGGCAGACACAGAGAGATATAGAGAGCGACAGATGAGGACAGATGAGGACAGAGGGCAGCAGCGCTGTGATGTGACCAGCAGAGGTCCAGCAACCCATCTGCTGTCACTTCCAGGGCACAGCGTGGGGAAAATGCACCTTTTCTTAAGACAGCTGGTTTAAATTAAAACATTTAAATCAAAGAGGATATGTAGATATGTTCCTTTAACAAGCATGATCCACAATTACTAATTAAGAAAGGGTTGCTAAAGAACATTTTCATAATGCACAAGCATGGGGTTGCAGTAACATCAGCGCATTATTGTTCTAAGTTAGGGTTCTTACAGGTCAGCAGTGGGGACAGTCTGTGTTTGCCAGCCTTTTGGAGTGGAGCTCCGGCAGAAAACAGTCCACAGAGAGAAACCGAGCGAGAGACATATGCGGGTGGCCTGAGAGATCAGTGTCAGCCCGAGGGCATCGTTGGGCACTTCCTCTGCTTTGTGCCTTCCTCATATGTCACTCAGAAATGTTCAGACAGACTGTCATACATGCGAGCAGACAGAAAGATGGAAAATGAGTAATAAAGAGGGGGGAGACACAGCCTGAGAGAGGGGGAGGCAAAAGATAGCTTGAAAAACGACATAGAGAGCAAAAGGCCAGCAGTTCGGACTTTGCGTGTATCAGTGACAGCCCTGGGGCATTATTTGGCACCCCCGCTCCACCATGTCCTCCTCCTCCTCCTCATATGTCACACTGCCAGGGGGTCCCCTGCCCACCTCTCCAGGGGCCCCGCTGTAACTGTGCTAATGCCAAAAATAACCTCCGCTAATGGAAGGGAGGCAGAGGGGACGGATCAATAGGAGTTATCAATGACATTGTTAGCTTCCTGAATGCTAACTTATTGTTTACGTCCCAAATGCCCTAAGCTATTTTGACCGGATGGGAAAAATACTTTCAGATTCATGTTTGGGATTATTAGAGAGAACATTTTATTACATCTCAATTGAGACCCATAAAGCTTTTCTGACTGCAATTATTGTGTGTTTTATAAATTCAAATCAGACATGAAGACTTATTTATGTCTTTGCTTTACACACACAAACTGGATCCGACTGGACTTTTTGCTTTCAAGGCTGGACTATCTGCCTTTCATTTGTGCGCTAGGGTTAAACACAAGCTTTTAAATATTACTTTATGTCACTTATAGCCTGATTTATGCTTATCAAAACCTACAAATCCTGGCTAAATGTGGACAAGCAGACAGGTCAAGCTGTAATCTGGCCTTGTTGATGAAAAGAAGGAAGTCCAAAATAGAGCTTCTTAAAAAACTAAGGATAAAGCATCGATTAACTGCTGACATTTATACATTCAAGCTTGATGAACACTCCCGTAAGCCAGGACATAAAAGCTTTGTGGTCAGTGGATGTCTGTCTAGTGAGAGCAAGCATGCTGGTTAGCTTGACATTCCACTTGTATTGTAAATAACTGTATGAACTTGTACTAAGAATATCATTTTGTGGTTGTAGAGACTATTGGTTTTTGGAATGCTTAAAACCGTTTCTTAAACAAAGATGCAACACTCTCTCATTAGGTTTCGCAATTATATCTGTGGAAAACATCTTTCATTGCTCATAAAAATGTGATTATTGCTGTTGCTATCAAGTGTTGCTGCTCTCAAGAATGAATCCCTTTACAGACGACCGAAACACGATTCAGAGAAATTGGAAATGAAATCTGCTGAATGACAGTGGGTCAGCGGTGCCACAGGACACAGTGCAGATGGTCTTTATAACACTTCATTTTATTGTGATACATGCAGTACATTTTCTCCACTCAGCATCTTTGAAAATCACTGATGTCATCTATGTATTTGTTCACACAAACGCTCCCTCTCAGTCCTGCTTCCATAATGTCCTACACACGGTGACCTTTCTACACCTACAAGCAAATGTCTCGGATGACTGTAACTGGTCTATAGGATTAACACACAGCACACTCAAACACCACTCTGTAGGTCACATATTTCACTCTCCTCCATCTGGCAGCTAATCTATGCATCATATGAGAAAACTCCCTACAGCACAGAGATAACGTCAGCCTGTTTAGTGTGGGTGCCCTTTAAATGACACCCTGCACAAACCAAACTAAAATGTTCTAGTCAGGGCTCTGAGTGTGCATGCATGCATTTGGTCATTTGTGTGCCTGTTCATCTGTAAGGCATTGAAGCTTTTTGCACCGTGCAGTGTCTGGTGAAATTACAATGTACAGGCTAAGTAGAGCACTGGGTAAGTGAAATACAGTGTGTGTAGCATCCTCACTTTAGCTTTATGACATTTAGTACAGTTATTCTCATAGGTTTTATCAAAGAAACATCTCCTTCTCAATGTGTTCATCCTCTGTACACTTGTGAGAATCAACAAAATACTTAGCACACTTGTCTTGCTATTACTATTAAGCTTTTTAGAGCACATGTCCTCCACACACACATACACTAACATAAAAACTGATGTGCCAGACATATGCGAAACATATGAGAACACGGAATCAAAACAAAGATTAGGAAAAATCTTTGCAGAGGAAACCATTAGAATTACTGTTTTCCTCCAGGTGCTTCAACACTTTGCACTCTGCCACAGCTTGTGAATGTATTTTCCAGCCAGTTACCCTGTGTGTGTATTTGTGTCTCCTCACCACAGTTGGGTAGTGTCAGTCTGGACAGCAGCTTGCGTACTCCTCCATCCTCGATGCAGCGCAGCTCCTGATTGTCTGCTTCCTCTCCCAACCACAGTTTCATCCACATGTTCTCACAGGAGCAGTGCAAAGGGTTCCCTGTGAGGATCCTGCACACAAACACACACACACACACACACACACACACACACACACACACACACACACACACACACACACACACACACACACACACACACACACACACACACACACACACACACACACACACACACACACACACACACACACAGTCAAGAACAGCTGAGAACCGTGAGTATTAAAGCGTGTGAGTAAATCAACATTTTAAAGACAAAGAAATAGCTTGATTGAATTGTACGAGTGCCATAAAGAAACAGTTTAACATGTTGGGAAATATGTTTGAAACTACCTCCAGCAGCACGTTAGCTTAGCTTATCATAAAGACTGGAAGCAGCAGAAATATACGACCCGTACAAAAGATAACAAGTTGAGATGTGGTAATGTCCTGGACTATTTCTTGACTGGGAATAGTAACTTCCTGGAAATTGAACTTTACAGACATGACAGTTTTTAACAACTCATGTATTGAGCTATAACTTCAATTTTAACTAGGCAAACGGAAATGCTCTACTGCTAAATGCTCTAGCAAATGGGCTACAACTGCCTTTTGTCGTGCAACACTGTGTTGCATAATGACAATAAATGATTGCTGAACTACTGCTTTATTTGTAATAACAGTTAATGAGAGACTGAATCACTGTATGTCTGGGGAAAGGGATACAACATGGGGTCAAAGCCGATCACACATTAACATTCCTTGGTGGGTAATTTCTGCCGGGCAACTTCATCTCTGTCCTCACCCTGTCTCCTAAATCTAAATCTAGATTAAAAGATTTTCTTTCTTTAGGTTATCCCAGAATTGCAGACAGAGGTAACTTCATATCATTACTCTATAGTTGACATCACATAAGCAGTAGGAACGTGTTTTTAGACTGACTGATGATAACTAGGCGGTATAGCAGAGAAAGAAAGACAGACAGATGGAGATGGACAGACTGATAGAGAGGCTGAGCTGAACTCACATATAGGAAATGTTGAGGTGTCTGAATATCCTCCAGGAAAGTGACGAAAGGTTGTTATCTTTCAGATTCCTGGAAATTAAGTCAAACAACAGGGAGTAAGATTGCTGTTTAAAGCCATACCAAAACATTATGTTAGTTTTACAGAAACTAATATTTATACGCATTAATAAGCCTGAATAATTTGTAATCAATTATGGTAACTCAAGATTTATTTTAATTTTAACTTTAATTATGTTTGTTATTTATAGTCCTATTAAACTTGAACTTCATCATTCGTCTATTTTTTTTTCTGGTGAATGTTTTCTTGATAATGTTGCAACTAAGTAGTCTTAATAATATTATATACCATACATTTCCTGCCAATATTACCAATAAATAATACCATAAAGTAAATCAAATAAAAACACGTATTCATTTGAAAAGAAAACAGTTTGTTTTATCCCCAACTGAGTCAAACATCTTACTCAGCAATGGTGAAGAGTAAATGATCATAGTGACTGTAATGTCAATAGAAATCAAGGAATAGTTTACATTGTTTTTACTTACAGGTACTGTATCTTGATGTTGTTTTGAAAGGCCAGCTTCGATACATACGTAAGCCTGCTGTTGGTCACCGTTCTGCCACGAAAAAAAACGGTCCAAACAATATTTCAAAAAAGCTTTACAATTGTCAACAACTGCGAAATGAGTTAGATCAAAACGTGAATTCAGGTTCTTAATCAGCTCCACAAGTCTTAAAATATATTATTTGGTCATAGTTTCTAATGGGTCATCTCAGAGGTAGATAAATCTTTGTTCAGACGTGAATATAACTTTCAAGATAAACAAAGTATGCCCCCCTCCCAGAGGGACCGGTAAACCAGCTTCTTTCTAACGTTAGCATGAGGAAAAATCTAGGTTTGGACCAATGGTCAATAGACCATCTTTCCTTGTTCGGAGCATCATGAATATCACACTGCTGTGTGTTTTCCAAAATGCAAAATAAACTAATCATATAAAATTAACATTTCACTAATCCAGGTTGTCCATACAACATTTCTGAATTCAAGATCTTTGTTGGAAACACAGCACGCTTGTAAATTTAAACAATGGTATAATGTATAAAACCTGCTTTAAGATTGAGATGCTGTACATTCTCAGCAGTGTTGAAACCAGATGCAAAGTGTGTGTGCTCTTCATCAGCTCAGGCTGTAAGACATCATTATCTGTTGTGAAATGTTGTTTCAGCAGACGTTCTGTGACGGATTCATCTCCTCAGACATGACTGAGCACAGATTTACATCTCATCAGTTACGAAACACGGCAATTAGTTACTGTAAAAACATCAAAACTGTGAAATATCTTATATATACGTATCAAGACAGAGTGTAATTGTTTGAGTATTTCTCAGACAAGTGGGACTGTCTATGGTTGTGGATTATTATGTTTCAAGAAAGTGCTGCTTGGTGGACAATTGTTTTTTTTAATTAAGAAATCAAATGAAGCAAAGATACAGACCCTAGTAACTACAAAACCCTGCAATAAAAATCATGGTTTAAAGCAACAGACATGCAAGATACATTGCCTTAAGCAGAGTATCAATAAAGGCAAAGTAAATCAATACTTCATATGGTGGATCATACCAAGCCAAATATGTTGTAATATTTAGAGAACATTTTCTTTATTGGCACAAAAATGCTTATAATTTGACACAACGATGTAGTTAACAGAACAGCCACAAGGAATACAACAAAAGAAACCTGTGTATTGTGATTATATTATTATGACAAATGTGACCATTGACAAAAGGTCTGAATGTATCCCGAGTCAAAATATGTGTCTTTGTAATATAAGACATAGAAGACTCACAGGTTCCTGAGATTCTTGTAGTAGTGCAGGTCTTTGTCGTTGATGGAGGAGAAGCTACCCTGGTTGGCGATGTAACTGTCGGGGGATACAAGTGTGTGTCAGAAGGCTCATTTGTTAACAGAGGGAAGCAAACAGAAGCATTTCAACAAGACAAAGGGACGTAATAAGCCCACATGATTGAAGTTTACATTTGAAAAAATAAACTGCAGCTGATAAATGGCACAAGAGGGAGCTGGTAGTTGTTGTTTTTTAAACACAAAAACCGGCACAGCTCTCTTCCCTCTTTTCCTCAGCTGCACTGGAGCAGGGCTCTTGACCCGATTGGGGGCCAACCGGAGATGATTGAGAGAGAATCCCCGGTGTGAATGAGTAAAACTTTTAACAGATCTGCAAAACAGTAAGTCTACTTTTCAAGAGCTTTGGGATCAGAAGTCTGAGAACATTTAGAGATAAACTCCAAATCACCTCCAGAGGGAACATGCTGTAACAGAAACCTTCAGACTTGCTGTGGTGCGCATTGTTTGGCTTAATCAGAAGGTCATTAAATAATGTTTTTTCATGTGGCAACTGGGAGCAAAAAACATCTCTAAATTAGAGTCATTGATTTCCAAGATCATTACATGGCTATACTTGTCAAGGGGCTTCAGTTCAAGATTTGTTTTGTGTTGCTAATTATACCGAATACACAAGAGGGACCAAATGTGTGCACTTCCTAGCAAAAATCTTCAGGTAATACAAAATAATAATACTTAACTGCAGGGCATACAGGAGTTTGCAAGCAATTAGACTTTAATCAAATAGTTTATTTCTCTTTTCCTAATTTCAACGTTTCGATCTGCAAGACCTTCCTCGAGCAACCTGGCAAATTTGTTGTAGATCCAAACAGTGCCTATACAGAAGAGAACAAGACTAAATATATGGAGCCTTATAGAGTGCATACCTTTTTTAGCCTGCAGCTATTCCAATACAACATGATTCACTGTGTCCTCTTTCAATTCCCTGAATTTATACCAGAATAATTGTTTTTGGTTCCAGAAGATTGATCAGTGAAGGTTTAAATGATGACTCCTTACCGTTAAAAAATATTCTATAGGGGTTCTGGTGGCCTTTTGTGGTGTAAGACGCTGTACCAAACCACACAGTGTAATTGTTTAAAAGCCGGCGGGAGACTTTAGTTGAATACCACTGCTCCTCTCTCTCACCAGTGCTCTGCTGTCACCATTAGAGTCAAAATAAAGCATGAAAAAAGGCAGTACAAATGTGTAGTAATAAAATTGGATATGTGGCTTTCCATAATTAAAGAACCAGGTCTACAACGCCAGCATTATTCTGTGTTTTACACTCTGATCAATTAAAGCATGTATCTTCAAAACACTGTTTCATAAAACTACATTCACTTACGTAATATTGGCTGACAATAATGTCACACAACTGAAATTCAATTCTGACTGAATGTTTGTAGGGTTATAATCTAATTTGAAATCTTCAATAAATCACCAGCATCAACGTCTCCGATAAGTATCTGTAAATAAGCAATAAGAAGAAGCAGAAAGCGCTCTGGATTACGCTGCTGCCACTGCCAAAGACAGTATCTCTGGTTTGAACACTGTTTGTTTTAGTGTGCAGGGGGGAGTTGAGTGTGCATTTACTACACCCACATGTGTCCGTTTGACTTTCATTTACTACTGCCTATCAGTATTAAGATACAAAACCAAATACTTTTGTTAAAGGTTTAATGTTATTGTTTCATCTTCATTAAAGACTGCATTACTAATGAAACAACTGTCTGTGCGGTTCCTCTTGTGTTAGTATTTAGAAAAGAGCCAACACCTCAAATAAACTCTTAAGATTTTCAATCTGTCATTCAATTGACCTATTTCTGAAGCATGTTTTGTTAGCAGGTGAATTTAATAAGATTTGTTTGACTCAGCTTTTATACGAAACAGACATTGACACATTCATATAAACGGCTGTTTTGAGTATTAACTCCCATACAGGAGTTCAGCGACGTTTAAAGCTCATTATATTCTGTCATCGTGTGTGTGCAGATGGCTTGAATTTCGGTGTTAACCAATTACCACAGGCAGGGGACATGATATACATAAATCCACGTTTTCTGGCAAGGTCGTTTTGGAGATAGACATGCATGGTCATCAGTGATTTGTCTGTTTACATTAGTGCTCAGTGGCTGCTTCTCAGCAGACTGCTGGCTCACTTAAACAGCTTCCAAGGCTTCTCCCAAGTTCATCTCTGACAAGTTATTATCAACAAGGCCGTTTATCGGTGCCAAGAAAGATAGGGCAGCAATTCAATATTTTAATCTCCTCTTTTAATTGCTCTGAGATAAAAATGCTTCAACGTCAGATTTTATTTTAGACAACGTGACCATTCATGAAAAGGGAGTACAGTTTACATTTTCAAAAGCACACTGATAATTTATTTGTATTATCGTCACGAAAAAAGGGTCCAGTATTCAAGAGAAATGTTGACGGATTGGAAAATAATAACGCTTTTTTCATAGAGATTTTTCTTCGCTTCTGTGGCCCATTAAAAACACTCATATAAGCCATCTTGGGAAGTGTCTCGCACTAATATTTGGACTGTGGTGGTGTGCGGGTCTCGGTCACACAGACACGCGTAAAGGCACATGCACGCTCCTGCACACAGTAGGGCTTTGTCTAATAGCCGGAATGAGGTCTTTCTGACTCAAGTAATTTCTTTATTAAATTGTCAGTTTCCATGCTGGCGTTGAAAGACTGATGGCCTCATGATGGCAATGTCTCTGTTATGCAATGTAGGTTACACATGATGCGAGTCTGACAGATACCCGTGCCGAATAAATGAAAAAGGACTTACATTTTTATCCAAATTGGTAAATCTGCGAATTCTCTTTAAAATCATGCAAGATATTAAGACTCAGAGCGAACCGGTTGTGGCTCTTTCCTTGCGGACAGTGCAGCATGTCAGCTCCAGACACAGCTGGCAGTTAAGGGATAAAGGTATGGTTTATTTGGAAAGTGTTGGGAAATACCGCTACATCGAAAAAATATAAAAATACCATTTATGAATTCGACATCCCCATTATGTAAATATGATGTTTCTGAGAGACACTCACATGTCGGTGATGTTCTCCATCTCCGCCTCGCTCTGTAGGATGGGGAAAGCATTGATCTCCCGCTCCGGGTCCACACAGGAGATCCTGGTGCTGCTGCAAGTACAATAAGACGGGCATGCCTCCGCGGACATCCACGGGTCTCCAGATCCCACTGACACCCCGATCACTACAACCCACCACCACCAGCACCGCCACGACCCAGACCCTCTCCCCGGCGAAGAGAGAGCCCCGCTCCCGGGTGTCCAGACGCTCATCTCGGGTACCAACTTCAGCTATTAGGCTCGCTGAACAGCCCCCACAGCCCGGCCCAGGCGGGCTGGGTTCAGCCCCTGGTTCAGCCAATCAAGGAAAGGAGAAAAAAAAAGAAGCAAAATCCGATGCCTAGGTGAATGCAGGCAGTGCAGCTACAAAACCATCTACAACGATGACTGAAGGGATTAAAACCGGAGAGTGTCCTCCTTTCCTGCGCGTCTCCTCCAGAATCCCCGTCAGTCAGCCAGTCAGTCAAAATCACACTGCCACACTGACGGGTGTGTGCCAAGGAGGATCTCTCTCTCCCTCCCTCCCTCTCTCTCTCTCTCTTTCTCTCTCCCCTCTGTTTCTCTCTCTCTCAACCGGAGCCTCCTCGACACAATGTTCTCTGTGTTTGGATGAATCTCTTCTCAGAGATGTGTGGTGGTGGTGGTGGTGGTTGGGTTGGTGGCAGGATAGGGGACAGACCAAATGTCAGGGTGAGGGAAACTGGTGCTCTGAACGCTGGATGCAGGGGAAGTAGAGCAGAGGAGGAGGACAGGGCGTCAGAGCAGATCGTGTATAATGTGATACCTCATTGATCCCCTTTAGGGAAATGCTCATTGCTCTGCCTGTTCTGGGGAAAGGGTCAGGTGCAGAGCAAGAGGTGGTTCTCACTCAAGGGCACCTCAGCCAGAAAACATGCTGAATTTGTGTTTGTGTTGGTCACTCGTGAACCTTTGCACGTCTGTTTTAATATGTGGGATCTCATGGGTTAAAGCTACTTTGTGCCAGGCATCACCGGCCTTCAGATGGAGGGTGAGCGTCCTTGTTTAACAGAGAAAGAGAGGGAGGGAGAGGTGGGGGTAGTTTAAGGCGTTATTTAATTTATCTACTAGCTGGTTTCAGTTCATGTGCGTAAATGGGACTAAAGGAGCAATCAATTTACAGCCGCTAATTGTCATAATCAGTCTCACCATCACTCTCATCGTTCCTATAATCATCATTATCATCTGGCTGTTATTTCACAAGTAGACCTGTACAGTTAATCAGTGAAAACGAAGCTGTCTGAAGGAGGTCCTATGAGTTTACGTAGTCACACAAGTGCCTCATTTACATTCTTATCCTTGGTAAAAATCCCTGACAAAAGAATCTGCTGTTTCCCTTTGAACAATGCTTTTAAGCATTTATATTGTCAGGCCTTGAGCTGATGGGTGCTTCCACTGTGGAAGTGGTTTAGGATGTACAGTGCTCCATCAATCGTAAGCCCTGCAGTCAACTTAACCAAGTGGCTGCCAACGGCATGGTCAACAGTGTGTACATGAGTGAATATTAGCCTCTCTGAGCAGGTGGCACCTTGTGTGGCTGCTATTGCCTCGCTCTATAAATGTGTGTTAATGGGTGAATACGCTTTGAGGGATCACAAAGACTGCAGGAGAGCTATATAAAATGCAATCCATTTACTGTAAATGTATACAAGAGGTGGATGTAATGTCTAAACAAATCACATGAGACTGTATGAGACTTAGAGAGAAGGGGGAGCAATAACCCATCATCAAGTCTTTAGCTGGTGTGTACTAGACCAAGCGTCACCTTATTAAATCATTAGGCCATTTTTCATAATGATATGTGGCTCCCAGCCAAACCTGACCTGAATCAATAATCTGTCATCTCAGAGCGGAGGCTGTACGGCAGCATGCCTGTCACTCTGCCGCTGTGCTGCTCCTTCCGTTGGATTTATTTATAACACAACAGTATATTTACGCTGCACAGCCTTTAAAAGACTGAGCTTCTTCTTTTCAGTCTTTCACCTTGCACGTGCGACACAGAGAATGAGAGCACATCTTTCTGTGAGCAGGAACAGCCCAAAACACCACAGCTCTGAGGTACTCTCCTCTCTTCTCCTCTTCTCTCTTCTCTCCTCTCGAATCTATCCTCCCTTCTCCTCTTCTATCTTCTCTCTCTTCTCCTGTCTTACCTCTCATCTCCTCTGCTCTCCCGCTCTCCGATGTCCTGTCCCCAGCTCTAATATGACGTTTGTACTGACGCACAGGCTGTGCTGCTGAATAGAGGAGTGTAATTATGGAGCCCTGCCTGTGTCTGAACCAATCTGGTGGATGTCTGCCTCAGAAACCGGGTTGTACGCATTCTGCACGGCACCGTGTGGGTGTACCAATTAAAAAATGGTTTCATCAAAAGAATATTCTAATTACTCTCCGTTGCTTTTGATAATTTGACAGAGGTTGTAACCTGTGTTCAAGATCTTTGACACCATAAACATGCAATCACCATCTCAATCAGTGACCATGAGTTTTACTCCACACTGAGCATATTAGTATGCCACGCATATTAAGCTTCCTATTCAAATTGTAAAGCATATGTGTTAACTGAAAAAGACAAATCACCACTTTCCAATTGAACACTGCCTCCAACTGATGAGAATCAACCTTGTGAAAGGTGTCTCTGAAAAAGGGAACAACGTTTTGGGGTTTTAATTTTTAACTAAATTAAAAGAAAAAGTTGTTCATTAACATAAAGCAGCTCCAGCTCCAGGAATTGTTCATAGATGATACCAAATAAAACAAATCACAAATATTATCTGAAATGTGAATTAGTGTAACTGCAAAATGAAAGGTTTAGAAATCTTATGTTAATAACTACTTTTACTGTACTAAACTACTTAATATCTAAATGGTGTTCACAATCATCTATTGTGTCATCACACTAGGTTTGCAACTTAATAATAATAACAGTTATAATAATAATAATAATAATAATAATAATACGTTTAATTTGTGCTCCCGTAATCCTATTTTGTCGCATCACAATCACTTTTTGCATCACATTCACCTTTGATTATAATAGGCCTACCTTTGTTTCATGTTAATAATCTGCTGTTACCTGTACTTTAACGTTTTCCTCTAGATTAGAACGTTGTGTCTTTATGTTTTATTCCTTCAGGTTCATACAAGGTAAAGGCAAAATAACTAATCTTTTTCAAGTCCAAACACATTGAATCCTGTCATGATTTATTCATGTGGGTCTCACACACATGGGCTCATATCCTGTTTTACCCTAAAGCTATGAGAAGCAGAGGGATTGGGTCATGAGTGGGACACTAGACACACTGGGTGCAGAAAACACAATAGCTCATCCAGAGTGCAGTTTTTTCCTTAAGTAACTGTGAGTTTTGGCACATTGTGTTTGTATTAACAAACCTCAGTCAGACAGAACAATCAGTTTCTGTGGATTCAGAGTAGAAGTATATAACAGTTTTCTGTGGGGCCCATGTTTACTCAGTTGAAGTGTTTGATTTATTTTTCATTTAAGAAGGACTGAATGACACTCAGCTTTCTGAACTTGACTTTTAACCCACTCCCATGAGAGAGAGGTTTTTTGAAATCCGGCCCACCAAATGTGAGACAGATGCGAGTAATGTATTATGATCATTGTTCTTTTTGTTGGAGGGGGGGTCTTAAGCTTCATAAGAAGGTGAAACTACATTCATCTTGTTGGAGTATAGTTCTTTACCAATTGTATATGCTATTGGAATTGGATGTTATATGTTGTTTAATTTCCTATTATCAATCTGTCATTAACTCATCACACCTTTTTAAATGAAGGCTCCCTTTGAGTCTCCCAATAAAAACAGGTATTGCCTTTTCTAACCTCTACATACCAGCTATGTGTATGTTATGGTCCTGAGGAGTTATACACTAGTGCTCTCTAGTGGCTGTTGGGATACTTAGAGACTATGAGATTATAGCTTGACCTTTGCACACAATACAATGTTACCAGGGATGGCTTTTAAAAAAATATATATCTAGGAAAGAGACAGAACTATTGACAACAAATTCTACTTTTTTAAGGACACACAGGGACATTGTAAAATGTTCAGACTGTGCTTTCAGGTCTGAAATAAATGACTGAGTCGAAAATAAAAAAGGTAGGTCATTTCAGTCTGACTGCTATTTCCAATTTTTTAAGGTTTACTCCATTAATTATACCTGTTGTGTGTGTGTGTGTGTGTGTGTGTGTGTGTGTGTGTGTGTGTGTCTGAAAGATAACATTGCAAAGTAGTATCCCTCTCACAATCGCTTTAAAGAAACCAACAAGGACAAGGTATAGGAAAATGAAGGGAGAGGGAGAATGGACGGGGAAACGGACAGGACAGGTGTCTCCCAGCAAGTCTGTGTCAGGTTTTGAGAATAGGTGAAAAACAAAAGCTTTGTGGAATAGAGACGAAATGTCAAAAAAGGGGGAAAGACATCAAGGCCTTTGATTCAGAGGTGAGCTACACTTGCTTCTATTCCTAAATAATGGTAATTAAATCAATGGAAACATTAAGGAACACCTGCAGTCAGATGCAACACTACACTAGTTAGTTTTATGAAGAAAAAGAAGGCGTAAACATCAAAACTACATCCCTGCTATATCCCCAGCTTTTACTGAATCAGACCATTGACTATCTAATCAAGCAAATTATACAAAATGACATTAATCTAGTTACAATAATTTCAAAGTTTAAAGAGCAGCATCTCTCACCTGCACACGGTTTGCCAAACCAGAACTTATTGGCAATGCTTGGTATTCTATGCTGTGGTTTTAGTCTATGTAAGATAAGCAGGCTGTTTTAGAACTTCAGTAAGACACACTTCTTTAGCAGGGACACAATGTGCTCAATGTATACAAGAGAAGAAGCTTTCCCTAAACCAGTTTGCCTTTAGGTTCTCAGTAATGTGTCATGGTGCTAGCAACCTAGGGTAAGCATTTAGTTTATATTTATCCTAAAGCTGTGTGTTTGTGTGTGGCAGGAGAAGGATCTGATATACATTGATGCGGACAGCCCTCTCGAAGAACAAAACAAAAGGTTGCATATTTGGTTTATTTATTTGCCAAACACACATTCTTAATGTCAGATCTTCTCAGTTTATTCTAAATAAGCATCCTTTCTCCTGTTCTTCTGATGTCCTATCTGCTTATCTTACCCCTTATATTTCCCCTTTCGCATTTCAGGACTATTTGACAGAGCAGAAAGACCCGATCCGCCTGATAACACAACTGGTTTTGACAGCAGTGTTTCTTTGCCGTTGTAGTTTTGCTCTTAGCCCTAACTAGGTTGCAGGTCAGGATTTTTTAGTATTTAGATTTGTAGATATATATATAAAAATCTATTTATGGTATTGTATTGGACTTTCATTCTCCATGAAGGCTTAAAAAAGACTGTTTAATTTATCTGCTCTGCTCAGAAAAAACCTACATGCTTTGTGCCTCAAAGCATGTTGACATAAGCGTGTGTTTGTCCACTATCTTTTCTTTCTGTATGGATGTATTTAGTTCTCAATTTATCAGAAGATCTCTCTGTCACACACCGGTCATTTCAGAGCTCACATCAAATACACTTACACCAGGGGTTTTTTTTTAAACTGGAGGAGGTTAAAGTAGCAAATAAATGATTCAAATGAATTTTTCTGATCAGAGAAAATTATGCCAGCTCTGCGGGATGGATTTCATATTAATAGTCAATTTGTTTCAGGCTTTGTTGCCATAGTGATAGCTGCATGTGTCCTGAACTTCAACCGGGCTCTCGTGCTGCTGGTCATCTCCTTGGTAACCGTATTCTTTCTGGTCTGGGATTGGATGATGGAGTGCTATGGCAACCGGGAGGAGCTCTCTCCTATTAGAGACCTTCTCAGCAGGAACTTGTTCTGGATCAGATGGTGAGAAATGTTCTGTTTCAAATTTCAGACCCTGTTGTGCACCTTCCTTATCAGATGACTAACAGAGGCGGACTGACACTTTTAACATCACAATGGGCCTCATGCAGGACGTGATATAGGAAGAAATGCCCTCTTAATCTTGTGCATATCCAAAGATTAGAATCCTTTGATTTCTGATATTTAGGTTGTTTTTTTCTTTACAATGTATTCAAGAGCAATATTACCATGCGAATAAAAAACACATTGTTATCACAGCCCACAAAGGGAGAAAAAATGTATCTAAAATGTGAGGATCATAGAAAAAAGTGTGGATATCAGATGTTGTCTTCTGGGAACAACAATGTCCTCACACTGAAGAAAATGCATTGTTTGCTAAATCAGCAGGAGAACTACATACACAGAAAGGGCAGGAGGAAGGAAAGTGTGAGGAGAACTGTTGTGTGCTAAGCGCAATAAGGTAATTCACTAGCTCAAGGCTTATAGACTACCTTTCTACTTAGTACAAAGGTGAGTCACAATATAGACTTGTAAATATATCAGTGTAACATTAATAGGACAAATGTACTGTAACGAATGGAATTCAAACAGTAGATATAGGACACATGCTGGTGTACATATTGGAGCATTTGCAACTAAAGAGTGAGATATTCCCCTATGCAAAACATAACATTAAAAAGAGAGTGGATGCTGGATTTATATTTGTCAGGAGGACACATAATAGACTTTCAAATGAATTAAAATGTTGCTTGATGTTGTAGATAGCTAGTTTAGGAATTAAGATTTTCACCACATCAAGGTGATTATATGATTGTTTGTTTGTTTACAGCTTGTGTCCTCAAAATAAAGGGGTCAATGCCTTTGGGAATCTTTCTCTAGCCATTTAGTGTTTTTGTTGGTCTTTCTTTAAATCATTCACTTTGAAATCATATAACATTTATATTCATTTTTGACTGAAGTGTGAATACAAGAAAAAATAATCTATCCCTCTCCCCCCTCGTCTTTCTCTCCAGGATAGTGTGTGTGTTGCTGCTGGTTTCTGTGGTGTGCTGCTGTTCTCCAAACACCCATTCAGGTTGAAGGATGTGCACACACACACATACACACAAAACCAACTTATTGACCATATGTTGAACATAAGTGTTGCAAACTTGGGCAAAAATATTAGCACACGATCAATAACCTCAAAACATTTATATTTGGGGACCGTGATTTCTATTGTTTCATTTGTATATTTTACATTATAATTTTTCACTGTTTTGTTTCCTTCGATTTTCTGTGATTTATTTTACAGATTAGATTTATAATGCATGTTGCCATGGGAACGTATCCAGCAGAATCAATGGCTGCAGCTGGAAATATTTGTATTTAAATTTGTTTTGGGAACGGTTAACAACAGTTCTAACTAAAAACACAAAACATGAAGCGAATCATTAATGCAATGATTTACATCTGTGAATCTAAGCCCTTATTGTTCTCTGTCAGACGGACTCCCCTCTCTCGATCCGTCTATACATCAATGGGCTGACCCGCTCTGGGTCCATGCTGTGATGACAGAAGGGTTTGCCAGCGTCTCTGGGTAGCGTNGGGGGGGGGGAGGGAGGGGAGGGAGAAGGAGCAATGAGCTTATCAAAATTAACTCTATATTTAAAAGGACTCGTTTTAAGGAAATGCTAAATATCAAACATTAAATGTTGCTTCACCTCATGAAGAATTGATGTGTCTAAAAAATAAATAGTTGTCAAATAGAAAAGAGGATTAAGGTTTTTGTTGCAATTTACATCCATATCAAACATGTCATCACTCTGACATTGTGTGAACTTGCCACACATTGTAACACATTCATCTGGAGTTATGGTCAAACATGTGTTTTGTAAGGTCACAGTGAACTTGTATCTCAGTTTTCTTATCAGTTCCTTTGAGTCCATGTGGAAGTGTTAGTCAAATGTGGATATCGCAGGGACAAAGACAGGACACAAATGATCAAACTTTGGTTATCAAGACTCCTTTTATTGCAAGGTTGGGAATGCCAGTGAGTTGCCTGTAAACTGTAAATGATTAAACCAACACACAACTTTTCAAAGTCATGATTTGTATATATTGATTGTTGTTGTGTTTTTATCTTAATATGTGTAAATGTGTCTGTTGATTGTGTATAGGATATACATATTTTGCACATATTTGTATTTTTCTATTCGGGATTGTTGGAAACGTTATTTCTGTCTCTCTGTCTGTACACACAAACTGAAAGATTGACATTCAAGTTGACTTTGACATTGATATATAAACTATGTATAACATAGGACAAACATCTTTAGGAACGCTTTTAAAAATAATGATTTGACTCGAAAACGTAACACTCATGTAGAGATAGGACTTGAACAGCTCTGTCAGGAAGTGAATGATTGACACCTTTTTCTGTGTGCCTCTCTTTTCCGGTTGAGGCAACACACTTGTTGTCAGCATCAGTGATGTCCGCTCCAGCCTCTCTGGCCATCGCCAAGATCTTCTGGCCTGAAATAGAGACCCAGAGAGTAACCGCTAGTCAGGACCTCAAAGTCGAACATAGTTAGGAAAAGACTGTTTCAAAATGCTTATTAAAGCATCTTTCTTCATTTTCTGAAGTTACAGTTGTAATTAAATATACCTTTTGGTCATATTTGCTAAAGCTGTCACTATATCCTGACAGTTCAAACACATTAAATATGTGGAATATAATACTATAAATGTGTGTATATAAATTCAAACATTGACCTGAATACATTCACTCACTTTTGGCTTCTTTCTGTCTGTTCTCTGGCTGCTCTTACGTGTTCATGCCTTCATGATGGGTGTTTCCTGGGAGGACAGTTTCATTGTTGCTGAACTGATTGGCATGAAGACATTTTTCAATGAATTTGTTGCTTATCAGAAGTTGTCAGAGTTCATCATGAGACCGAAACCAGAAGGGCCAGAATATGTCAACAGCGAAAAGCAGTTTATTTCTGTGAGTCGCTCTCATCTTTTTCTGCCTAGGATGTTATGTTTATTGGTATGTTTGTCAGCAGCAAAACAGAACAAAATATGAACCATATTTTTGTGAGACCTAGTAGAAGGGTGTAGTAAGAATCAATTAAATGTTGTAGTGGATGGGAATCACAGGGCGGATACACAAATGATTTGTTTTTTTTGTTAACATTGCGGGATAGGACAAAGTCTTAGCGGAGGTCTATGTGTCCCCAGTACTCTTGTTTTATTCAGATTGTGTAGTTCTCTTTGTCCTATTATTATTTTATTGAATGAGTTGCCTGTGTAATTGGTCCAGTAGGAGAGCAGTTTTTTGGTGGTGACGATCAGTCGTTGTTGGGCCTTGGGCTAGAGAAAACTGTATGGAACGGATAACTTTAATTATGGCCCTTCATACCCTTTCCCTCAAATTGACGATTGAGGAGGCATTTGATTATTATTGAAGATGTTAATTATAATTGATGAAACTTAGCATATTATTAAGGAGACATGTTTTCATTGTGATGGCACTCTTGAGATTTACTTTTCAAAGAAAATATATAAGTTTTTATGTGGTTTGTTTTCTGTCTTTTTCCATGAACTATAATATTTATATGAGGAATCAGTACTTGCAGTATAGCACTTTTTAGCTTCTCTAGATATATTTAATGTCTTAGTTGCTGACACTTGAGAAATTCATATAAATACTACAAATATCATTAAAACAAATGTATAACAGTTATTACAGACTAAGATACAATTTCATTGATACTACAGTGATACTGTAATATTAAGGCAACAAGTAAAAGCAGTGTAATGCTCGGCCACTGGATGTCACTGGTGTCTTCTTTTTCTGTTCATTGCATGTCAGATTCAACAGGCCGAGTCCATAGACCAGTGAGTCAGACTGGTTGGACGGGCAGATGCAGAGAAACTGGCTCATTATACTGAAATAATCTGTCCGGACCAGGAGGAGGGTATCCTGTGTGCACGAGCACGCTGTCTGCAAATGACAGTCTCTTCATTAACTCTAGCAAAGGCTTAAGGTCAGATGGTTATCCTCTCGCTGGGCAGGAGGTGTGTTCCCATGTGCGAATTTCACACACCCACAGAGAGGGAAGATTAGCCATCAGAAGCTGACACACAGGACATTTTTAGGTTCTATGTTACCATGTGTCCCACATTGGAGAAAAAAAAAATCATAGTGAGCTCCTTTTCATATTTATCAGCACAGTCAAGAAAAAATGTTGCCTTTAACCAGGAGCTGTTAGAGCAGGAAGAAAAAACAAACATCATATTGTTGCTAAGGACTCATTGTGTTTTTCTGTGTGTTAAAGCACTCAAATGTTTCTGGAAGATACAACTAATTACAGGACATTAAATGAAGGTTGCATCTTTTTATCACATATTTAGCCCATTCTTTATTCTTGATGAGCTTATTTTGCTGTTGGGACCTTATGAATTCTATATTTCTATCTTGCTTATCTATCTGGAACAAACTCTCAGAAACCTGCAGGTCCGCTGCAACTCTGATTACTTTTAAATCCAGACTAAAGACTTTTCTTTTTGCCGCTGCTTTTAATTGAACTATTCACATCTTAAACTGCACTGTAACTTTTATCCATGTATTTTTTCTTTTAATGTTTCTTTTATTACCTTATCTTTTTAATGACTGATTTTAAATGCCATTTTCTTAATGCCTTTCATTTTTTTGTAAAGCACTTTGAATTGCCTTGTGTTGAAAGGTGCTATAGAAATAAACTTGCCTTGCCTTGCCTTGCCTTGCCTCATGAAGCTGGACTGTGTTGACTGTGAGTTAGAAATGTCATGATAAATTGAATAGCACTTTAGTTGTAATAAATGCAATGTGTTCCTGCATGAAATGAATCTTAATTCTAAATCTATATAATGCTTCATTAATCCTTAATGAAACTTTTAACACAAATAGCCATGGAAATCCTGAAAAAGTATATACTGTATATCCCCCCAAAAATCCAAATTTAAGGCATGGAATGAGAAAGTTAAAAATATATAAATATATATTAGCTGTATGAAAGAAAGAAAACGTAATCTTTAAATCATTTTGCTAAGCATTATATTAATTGATAGGGAACCTGCACTTCTGTTCAAAATGTTGGAATTTCACCAGAATCAGCAATTATATTCTAATGGAAAATATACGGTATATTCTGACAAACATGTTTAAACACACAAAAGAAAATACAAATAAAATTCAAACTTATATTTAATTCTAGACAAATGTTGATTATTCTTAGGTCAATATATGGTTCAAGAGCTGTCATTCATAATGCCAGAAATCTAGGAATATTAATCTAAAAGTTTAAAACATAAAAAAGAGACTGGTGGAATTTCGGTTGATGTGCTGTGTAAAAATAACCATTTGTACACAACATTATTCGAATTCTTCGGTTTTATTGTTTGTCTTTTGCGTATTTTCTGTGACACTGGGATTTTGCAAATCTAATTAAAAAGAGTTATGTATTTTAACATATGAAAGATGTGCCTTCAAGCATTGATAGTGTGCACACTAAATGTGAAATCAAACTTCCAAGTTTCTATTATATTTTTATGTTTTCTTTTATATGAGCCATGCACACAGAGGAGATTATGAAAGGAAAGAGCAAGATGGATAGATGGAGGGAGAGTAAGAAACAGCGAGATGCACTAAAAACTAGAAGAAAAAGGACTATTAGGAGACTGAGACTGCGGATATTGGATTGTCATGTAGCACCACTCCAACAGAAGGAGAGGGGGATGAAGAGGAGAGAGGAACTGATGGAGATGAAGTTGTCA